GCACACAGTTAATCCTTTGATCATCCAAACGTTAACCCCTTCCTGCCCAGTGTCATTAGTACAGTGTCAGTGCTTTTTATTAGAACTGATCACTGTGTTTGTGTCATTGGGATGTCAGTAGCAGTATGTCAGTTCACACCCAGTGTCAATATGGCCACTGCAGTTCCGCTATAAGTCGCTGATCACCGCTATTACTAGTATAAGAAAAATAAAAATAAAAATTCCAGTATATATATACTGCCATTTGTAGACACTATAACGTTCACTTAAACCATTTAATTTACATGTATTGGGATTTTTTTTAGCAAAGAAATGTAGCAGAATACATTTTGGCCTAAATTTATAATAAAATTTGATTTTTTAAATTTTTTTATTAGATATGTTTTATTGCAAAAAAGTAAAACATACTGTTTTTTTTTTTTTTAAATTGTTGGTCTTTTTTTTGTTTATAGCACAAAAAGTAAAAAACACAGAGGTGATCAAATACCACCAAAAAAAAAACTATATTTGTTGGAAAAATATTACATAAATTTAATATATGTACAGAGTTGCATGACCGCGCAATTGTCAGTTAAAGTAATGCAAGGCCGTATCGTAAAAAATGGCCTTGTCAGGAAGGGGGGTAAATCCTTTTGAGGGCAAGTGGTTAAAGTTGTTTATATGCTACCAAACTCTCACATACAGAGACTACATGGCCCTGCCAATATTTTTCAGGGCACACAGGAATTGGTTGAGATATACCACATACTGGGAGTGAGGAGAGAAAAAATAATTAATTGAAAGCCTTTGATTAGTGATATTGGAAACAAAGGATTTTTTTTATTCCTTCCTTCAGGTGTATTCACCATACAAATAAATGTTTTTGTTGCAAGGATAAAAAGCCTTTATACTTTTCTGTTTCAATACATTTTTATTGAAGTTTTAGTTAACATAGCAAGTAGCAAGCAAGGAAAAATAAATACATAAGAGTTGGCATATGTGTCGCATATAACCTTGTCACTTCATAAAGTATTACTGTGTATAAACAATTCAAGAGTGTCATGAGAACAATACATATAGGTAAAATGTAGTCGCCATAATGCTATAATGTAGCTGAAGAATGATCAGGGCGTTTGCCCTATTGTGTTCAATCTGCATCAGTATATTGCTTTTTATACCAGGTGAGCTACAGAGACCAGTGCGTTTGAGATGTATGGAGGCGTCCTTTGATAGACACAAATAGGCGTTTGTAAATGCCATATGCATAAGTTAAAACAATGATTTTGGATCTAGTGGGAGGAGATGCAAACAACCAATGTCGAGTGATGGCTAGTCTCACAGCTAGAAGAATGTATATGAGGATGTGTTTGAGGCGTGTAGGAATACTCTCTATACCAATGTTTAATAGTGCAAGTGGAGGTTAGTTACTTAATGATTCATTTGGAAGACATCTGACTAGTATGTGGACAATTTGCAACAGGACCAAAAGATGTGGCAAATATTGCCTACAGAACCAAATCCTCTGAAAGGCAAGGAATATAAATTGGTGGCATGGTTAAAACCTCACTAGCTCTTTGTCTTTAGGGAAAGATTAGGTGTTAAGGTTGAAAGGACAGAGAGGAAAATTGGTAGTGGTGTAGGCAAGTTACAGATAGATGTGTTCATTAAGAAGTAATGAAAAGCAGAGCAATTAGTAACTATGGTGGGGGGGAAATGTGTTTCTCCTTGGAGTTCATCTGAAGATTACTAATTAACCAGCTGTAGAGGTCGTTTCCTTGAGCTTGAAATTCTATTTCTCTCCATAAGCAGGGTGTGGCATTTATGACCCATGCTCTGATCTGCACCAGAAAGGTGGCATTGTAATAGTCTCTGAAATCAACATATACACAATAGTAGATGAAGGGCAGAGGAGTGGATAAAGGGATGGGTGGATTATGGATGAATGAAGGATGGATGGATGGAACATAGTTCTCCTCTGCAGCTCCTGTGAGATCTGGGCAGGATCACCTCATAAGCAGGAAATGCAAAAAAGCAGGGCACTGAGGTTAATACCAAGCAAAATAACACCTTTATTAAAAGCAGCACATGATGGGGGGGAGGGACACATTTAGGGCATAGGATTTATTGAGATTTATTTTGAAGTTAGCAAGTTCATCGAAGTGCTGGAGTGCTTTAATAAAATTTGGTAGTGTGGTTAGTGGCTTTTTCAGGAAAAGGAGAATGTCATCTGCAAATGTTATACTCCCTGTGTCCTATCATCACCCCCGTTATATATGGGTTTGCCCTGATACAGAGTAGAAAGGGTTCAATCATGACAAAAATGATTGGGGATAAAGGGCATCTCTGTCTAGTCTCATTCCTAATCAAAAAGGCGTCCGACAAGTGGCCATTGAGGATTTGTGTAGAGGCTTAGAATGTAAGCAAGCATGGAGGGGCCAAGGCCTATAGATTATAAAACAGCCTTCATGAAATCCCAGGCCACTCTGCCGAACGCTTTCTCTGCATCAGTCAACAAGAAGAATTCCTACGTGCCCGATTTAGTTAACCAGTGGTATATGTTAATTGATTTAATAGTATTATTGCACGCTTAGCGGCCTGGAATGATTCCAACCTGGTCATGTGAAACCAGAGTAGGAAGATAGGGGAGTGGTCTGTTGGCCAGAATCTTAGCACATATTTTTACGTCTACATTTAGTAATGAGATGGGCCTGTAGTTTGGGACGTGCATGCTATCTTTACCCTTCTTATGGAGGACTGTGATGTGCGCTTCCAGCAGTTGGGATGAAGGGTTGTCATGTTGTGGAAGGGTATTGAAAGCACCTAGAAAGTGAGGCATAAGGATCCTTGAAAAACTCTTGTAGTATTGGGTAGTGAGCCCATCGGGGCCTGGACTTTTGCCTGGTTTCATTTGTTGTAAGGCTGATAGGAATTCTTCTGCTAAGTTATGTTTTTCTAGGGACAGAGTCTCACTTGGAGATATTGTGGGCATCATATGAGAAGCTAAGAAATTATCTATAAATTGAGTACGTGGTGTGGAAACTAAGGTAGGGGATTTGGATTCAGACAAGTTATACAGGGTGTAATATTCCACAATTTGTTGCGCTATATCTTCATTTTTATTAAAACATTTCACAGCTTTATTTTGAATAGAATGGACTGTCATTTGTGCCCTTCTGCCCTGTAGCAACATGGCAAGTAGTTTACCACTCTTATTAGCTTGTTCATAATATAATTTAGAAGATAGCAATCAACTATTGAATTAAGCCCTAATTGTAAATCATCATCTTTGGCAAATAAATCTATACTGGATGAGGGTGAGTTTCCCTATGCACTATCTGGCCAATTGATGAATCTAAAATATATAACCTTTATTCAAATATATAAAAAATGCATGCTCATCTGTAATTAATGCCTATTGGAGTGGAATGTACTGTGCACAATATAACTGAATACCATTGCAATTATTATTTACGTTGCATCCAAATGGTTAATAACACCAGAATAAATCAAATACCATACCGTTTTAGATGAAATGACGGCATACAAAGATCATAAGCCTAACAGCTTGAACATATAAACTCTGTTAAGGAAATGGAGTTACCCCGTGGACAAAACTAATTAGATAGTATAATCTATCTTGCTACAGATATGTAATATGGGTACACACTCATCCACTGGCTTAAATGTCAGCCTCCCATGGATAAGCCCCATAGGTCACCATATCCACCAAAAATACCTCACTGTCTTGAGGAATGCAAATGATGCACTATACAATGCAGTACATACCTCTTACAAAAAAAGGGGGGGAGAGGAGTAAACACCATGTGCATTCAAAAAGTGCTCCCAAAGAAAGACCCAAAGAAAAAAAACTCTACATGTTTCGCTCCAGGAAACAGAGCTTCATCAGGAGTATAATTAAAATAGGTCACATAGTGGATGGAAGTTGTGCTCAGCTGCACATGGTGGCAAGATGGCCATCTTTCCTTAGGAGCACTTTTTAAATGCACATGGTATTTACTCCTCTCCCCCCCCCCCTTTATTTTTTTGGGGATAAAGGTTATATATTTTAGATTCAATTGGCCAGATGGTGCATAGGGAAATGCAACCTCATCCAGTATAGATTTTTTAATTTAGAAGATAGCACAAGTTTCCATCTAGTTTGTTTGCCCAGAATTTCCAGTAGGGTTTTTATGGTGGTGACTTAAGCGTAGGTTTTATGTGCCTTGCTCTGCTTATGGGTCAGTTCCAAGGAGCAAACGTGCTATTAAATGGGAGACATGGGCCTGGTGTTTTTTAATTTTTGCTGTTAAAGAAATGTGTTCTCCACAAAGTACACATTTATGAGCTAACCAGAGGTTTAATGCAGATGTGTCCGTCAGAGAGTTGTGAGTGAAATAGTCCTCAAGGGTAGACTGAAGCTTGGAGCAAGAGATAGGGTCGCTGAAGAACGGTTTAGCTTCCATGATTCGGTGGTGATCCAAGATATACATGGGTTCGATACTAGCTGAATGGAGGAGTGGGAGGTCAGGTTGTGAGAGAAAGAAGTAGTCTATATGGGAATACTTGTGGTGTGGTGGAGAAAAAAAGGTGTAGTCTCTTGTGTCTGGGTACAGGGTTCTCCAAGGGTCATGAAGGGACAACATGTTGAGTTGTAGTTTTATTTGTTTGAGAGAGCCCTGTATGAAAAAGAGGAGGAGCCAGTGGATGTTTCCAAAAGTGGATTAAGCAGTATAAATAGTGAATATTTGTGAGTAGAGATGAGCGAAGTATTCAAAAATTCGATTCGGCTGATTCGGCGAATTCGAGGAATAAATTCGATTCGATGCGAATATATTCGAGGCCAGTACAGGGACCCATGACACACTCTGGACCTGGCAGCAGCATGAGGGGGCTGGGCGGGTACAGGGGCCCATGACAGATTACGGGCCATGGCAGCAGCATGTGGAGTCGGTATCGGGGGTCCATGGCCAGATTACGGGCCTGGCAGCAGCAATGGGAGGCCGTAATCTGCCAGCACCTTATGACAAAATGGAACCCTCAGCAGTGTGAGGAGACCTGAAAGTGGCACATGGCAGAGTGTGGCGATGGAGACAGCAGCAATGGGAGGCCGTACAGGGACCCATGACACACTCTGGACCTGGCTAGCAGCATGAGGAGGCGGTACGTTGGGCCCATGGCAGATTATGGTGGCCTGGCAGCAGAGCAGCATGGAGGCCCGTAATCTACCAGCACCCTATGACAAAATGGAAACCCACCAGCAGTGTGAGGAACGACCTGAAAATGTGGCACATGGCAGGAGTGTTGTAGGCGATGGAGACAGCAGCAATGGCGGCCGTACAGGGACCCATGACACACTCTGGACCTGGCTAGCAGCATGAGGAGGCGGTACGGGGGCCATGGCAGATTACGGGCCTGGCAGCAGCAATGGGAGGCCTGTAATCTGCCAGCACCTATATGACAAAATGGAAACCCACCAGCAGTGGGAGGAGACCTGAAATGAAAGTGGCACCATGGCAGAGTTGTGGCGATGGCGACCAGCAGCAATGGGAGGCCGTACAGGGACCCATGAGACACTCTGGACTGGCAGCAGCCTATGAGGAGGTGGTACGGGGGCCCATGGAGATTACAGGCCTGGCACTAGCAGCAATGGGAGGGCCCGTAATTGCCAGCACCTATGACAAAATGGAACCCCACCAGCAGTGTGAGGAGACCTGATATTGGGCAACATGGGCAGGAGTGTGGCGATGTGAGACAGAAGCAATGGGAGTCCGTACAGGGACCATATGAGAGACTCTGGGACCTGGCAGCAGCATGAGGAGGCGGTACATGGGGCCATGGCAGATTACAGGCCTGGCAGCAGCAATGGGAGCCCCGTAATCCTCCAG